AGAACTATTGAAGAAATTCAAGAAAATTAAAGGAGAGGTTGAAAAACTATGAATGACTATTAACCTCTTTTCGAATGCTTAGAACTATCCTCATCTTCCAAAATCGCTTGAAGCTCAAAGTAATTTTGTGTAGGAACGAGGCACCATCCTACTTGGTGCTAAAGTTCAGTCAAGCAGATCATTGCAGTGTTGCTCATCGATATTAAACTGCATCAGCCCCAGTTCAGGACAGCCTCCTCATCAGTGGCCTACAATTCCCCCTAGAGTATGTCCCCGCAGAAATGGAGTTCCCCCAACCCTTCTGTCCCACCCCCTCCAAGTGAAACAGCCCACTCACCCTCTCACCCTGCTGAAAAAAACAGCATCCCTTGTCCTCCCTGCCTGAACCGCCATGGCTGATCCAACCACAAAGATCAACCCGGCCCCAGAAGAAGACACACCCTCATTTTCGTCCCTACCTTCTCAAGGGCATACACCTCCCACCTTGTGTAACCCTGGCAGGGAGCAGCTCCAACCCCAAAGAAGATAATCCTGACTGGTGACCCTGACCTCATACGGCTGAAGCGCCTGCAACGATTTACCGACTGTTGATGATTTATGGTGATCTGTTCAACCTCCTCAGCAACACCTTGATATCATGAAGTGTTTTTGAGATCTCCTGTTCAAGTTGAGGAGAAAGAAATTCGCCAGAATTTAAGACTCAGGTCTATAGCTCTGAAATTTAGAAAGTCAACAAGATTACCAGGTGTATCCAATTTTCAGATTTGCAAGTCAAAGCAAAGCAAATGAATTAGGAAAGGGTTCAATATAATCCTTGATCTTATTGTTACTATCCTGGCCAAATTTGAAGTACAAATTCACGAGAAAGCACAATGCCGACCAATTGCAAAAAGAATTGAATGAACTTGAGAGGAGAGCGAGATAGAGAGAAGAAGAAGAGGAAGAAAGAAAGAAGAAGAAGAAGATGTACACCAGCAAAGACCAATGATAATTCCCTTCCTCTCGCCAACCAACCCCTCCTCCTTTTGTCCTCCCCTCTTTATTCAAACAATAAATAATAATAATGATGATGATGAATGGCCGAACCGGAATCAATGTCTGAATCCCTCTTCTACTGCAGGCACAACATGGGGTCCTTCATAGCCTGAATCTTATCGGCGGCCATCGTTTCGTTTCGGCCTCCTAAAAGATCAGAGGCCCACCCGAGGCTCCCTATTTTCCCAACCGTCAAAGGTACTAGCGGTTTAAGCGAGCTACCACCCCACCCTCTGAGGTATCTAAGCCCCCTTCCCCCTCTGTCGTCCCCAAGGTCAGAAATGTCTTCAACCTCAGTCGCGTTGCCATCATGATCTACGAACATGAGGTTGCCTTTCTTCTTCCAATCTTGGGGGATCTTCTTCTTCATCCCATCCCAAACTGCTTGCTGCGCATTCCTGTGCTTGGCCTCAATATCTAAGGCCTTACTGAAAGAAGGAAAATCGTGTACCTCGATGGAGGCCTCATCAACCAACTTTTTTTTGACGTCTGTGCGTGGAAATCTCATATAGGTGGTCATGAGGACCTGGGGGTCGTACCGCAAGCCTGGGACTACGATCAGTCTCTCCACAGCGCCAATCACCTCACCTACGGACCTGGATCTTCTAGATCCCAGGTTCACAAGTGAGTCTGTGGCCTTTTGTGCCTCTTGGGGGTCATGCCACCTTTCTTGCACTAACGCTACAAACTCCTCCAGACTCCGAGCTTTTGCCCAACCATTGAAATTCTGACCGTATCCGTTCTGCTGAACTAACCCGTGTAACCATCTTGCTGCTGACCCCTCTATATAGGACGCAGCGACGATCACCTCCTCCTCGGGCCATG